GCGTGCTCGCAAAGAAACGCTACAATGGGGGGGAGGACCACGCGACCCGAGGGCCCCCTCTCTTCTGAGGCAGCCGCGCGCGGGGCAGTGGGGGGGGGGGTGCGCGTGCTCGTCGCAGTGTCGCTAAGGGGAAGGGGGGCTGCACCCCCAGCCGCTAGCTCGCTTTGGCTGGAGCAGATATAAGGGAAAGATAGGAATTTTGGCCAGGTGGGGCCCAAACCACCCGCTAACCATGGACCCACCGGCTGGCGATCAAGCTGGCCACGCTAGAGAACACGACTGGGCCGCGCTAGCAAGAGAGCTCAGGTTCTGGCTAAATCGCCGCGAGGACCAGCTAGAAGACGGCCTGGTCGACTTAAGCCAGCAGCTATTGGGGCGGCTGGTCGCTCGCGCTAGAGCGGCGAGGCTCCGCGCGCTAGAGGCAGAGTCAGAGTCGGTGCCCGTCAAGGCGGCTCCGGCGGTCGCTAAGAAGGCTGCGCCCAAAGCGCCGCCTCCGCTACTTCCGCAGAACACTGCAGCTAGGTCCCCGTCGCCAGGGGCGAGAGTGTGGTATGGTGGCTCAGCTAACAAGCTAGCCCCCAACGCTATGCAGCAGGCCGCGAAGGCCGCGCTAGACCGGAAGGTCCGCTACGCAGTGGCTTGGACCGACTTCTCACCAGACGAGGAGGAGCTACTCACTCGGGAGCAGCTCCGCTATCTGATGGCTAGGTTCCAAGCTGCCGCTCTCGGGTCCATACCCGACGCTACCACCCGGGAGGAAGCCGAAGAGGTGGAAGCCCGCGCTATGGAGGCTCGGGCAGAGGCCGAGGAGGAGCGCGCTATGCAGGAAGCAGCCCTGCGCGCTAGTGCTTTGGAAGAGGAGGAGGCCCTCGAGGCCCGCGCTAGAAGAAGGGAGGAAGCTACCCTCCGCTACGAGCAAGAGGAGTTCGAGCTGGAGGCGAGGCTCACAGCCTCCAGAGAGGCGCAGAAGCGTGAGGGGGATGAGCCAGTGGTGGAGGGCGCAAACAGCTCCGCTAGCACTGGGGCTTTCCCGCTACCCAAGGCCACAACGCCGGCCACGCTACGGGAGCGATCCCCCAACTCTACACGCTAGGCGGATCTGATGGAGGGGGACGCTCCCGGGCTACAGCCGCAGCGGCCGCTACTTTGGAACATGGCCTACAGTGAGGCCTTGAAGCTTCAGGAGTCTGCCAAGGCCAATTAAGGGCAACTCCGCGCTAAAGGGGAAGGGCGTCCCCATGGACCTGGTGCAGCCGCCCCCCGCTAGAACGCCAGCCTCTGGCCAGGTCGATCCACCCGAAGTTCGGCCGCCCGCTAGGCAGCTTTCCGCCGGGCCACGAACCCAAGGGGAAGGGCTACGGCAAGCTACAGGGAGGTCGTATCGACTACGCTAGCCTGGTCGACTACCAGGACCTCCCGCTAACACAGGACTCGGACCTCGACCTGGTCTGCCAGCTACCGGGGCCGACAACTTCCCACGCTAAAGCCCTCGCTAGCATGGTTCCTTGGAACCGCTACGTCAACGCTGGGGAGCGCAGGGCAGTCCTAGGCTATGGCAGGTGGGACTCCCACAACCAGATATTTCGTTGTGTGGTTTTGTGTCCCAGCTGCCGCGCTAGAGCATGCAACCGCCGAGTGTGGTGGGCGCTAGATACGCACTGTCCGCATTTCTGCGACAGCTGCAAGCGCGACCAGCGCCACTAGTCGGTAAAACCGGCCGCTATACAGCTACCTGCTAGCCTCAAGGCTCGATGGCTACGCCATCGCTCTTCCCGGCGGCTAAGCTAAAGGGATACGCTAAGCCACTTTTGCGCTAGACAGCTAGCGCCGCTGGCTACGTCAGGCACGCCGTGCCAAAAAGCTGGAGTCCGAGCGCTAGGCTCTGCTAGAGGCGGCATGCACACTCCCTCTCCTTGCCTCCGATAGCTATATCCCCCTTCTC